AAGACCTGAATGTCTTCCGTGAAACGAACTGTTGACTTTAACATGGCGATGTTCTAGACATCAGTCAATTATCCGACTCTTTATTTGATTCCAACTACTTTAGAATGCATTTTTCTTAAAGCACTTCAAAGTCAGTATGTTTCGTTTGAATACGCTTTCGTTCTGCACTTCACAGTTGCTTTTTCATATTTCCAAGACACAAAAAAAAAATTGTTTGTTACTATTTTCGCACGTTCTCTCTATTGGGACTCGAACCCGTACCTTCTGGAAGCTAACAAGTAACAGCAGGCAGCTCTGCACGCTTAGCTACAGCCAGACATGTAAATGTGTTTGCTAATGTTCAGTTTGAATTGTGTGCAAGCAGCAAGTCGATTTGAGCAGCAAGTTTGATTTCAACTACCTTAAAATGCATTTGGCTTAAAGCACTTCATAGTCAGTATGTTTGTTTTGCAGATGTCTTTTCATGCTGAAATAGTTAATTGCCCACAGTTAGATGATTTTTCAACTAATATTGAATTATTTGCAAAGATATGTAGTATATATCAAAAGTGTAAGTATTTGTTTATCTCAATGATGCTGCTAGGTTATTAGATTATTCATCAATTTGAACTTAGTTGCTACATAAGTAAAAATAAATTAATTTTTCTGAGGTAATTGGTTGAGCGATGCCGTACTGGGTATGTGGTATTTCATATGCAACATACACACACATTCAGAGGATACCCTGCAGAAAATCTGACTAGCTCAGAACTAGCGTAAAACTAGACCGTTTGCCGACAGTACTAGTTCTAGCTCAATACCCAAGCAATACTTTTAGCCGTCCAGTTTTACACGGCGATGTCATTGGCAGTGGAAATTATCGCCCAGTGCATTACTTTGCAACTAGTTTTTAACCGGTTCCATTTTGGACAGTTTTTTTAAGATTAGGTTTTTGGATATTTTTTTGTTTTTTCTTGTCTTTTACAGATTCCATTTTCGTTACATATTTAAAAAAAAAAAAAACATTGTAAGCTGCACGCAACAATTTTAAATTCATTAAATGTGAAAACTCACAACTGCCTCCACCGCGATTTGATCTCGCGACCAACGACGCTTGAGTTGGAGGCCTTCTCGCTGAGCTACTTTCGTATTGTACGAGTAGTGAGCATTTGCACATTTACCACCGCAACTTTCAACTGTCCCGCTCTGCTTCCGTTTTGCACTAGTTCAGAGATAGTACTGATATATGTATGTAGTTCGGAACTAGCGCTTTGTCAGACTGTCTCTGAAATTTACTGCAGGGTATCTAAAAACTTGAATTTTAGGCTCGCTCGCTAAGATACATAGTTATGTATGTGTTTATGTATGTATGTACATATGCAAGCAAACGTAAAATAATACAGCAGCGAAGATAACCATTACTAGCTAGAGTAAGAAAAATAAAAACAATATTAACGGTTTTGATATGAAAATTGGAGAAGAGTAATATTATCTTGTTACTATGTCCTCATAAAAAGAAACTTTTTCTTCCATGAAACTTCATTTATCTCCACTTTGGTCAGAAAATACATATACAATCAAAGAAAACAATCACTCTTTGACAAAATAAGGAAGCAAGGTAAGGTTTTATGTCAGCTTTATCCTTTGAATTAAATTTTAAGATTACCAGGCAGGTTCTGCAATTCACTTCTGAGTAATTTTCAATTCGAAAGAGAATTGTAGAATCTGCTTGTATATTTACTTGGTATATTTTTTAGTTAATACATATTTTTGTTCAATCTGGAAAAACTTAACTAAAAACTTTAAAGTCGTTGTGATTTGATTTTAATTATTTTAAGCTATGGCGCACAATTAGACCAGAGCGTCAAAAAAGTATAAAAATGGACTAGCGAATTCTGAAAAAGTAACTACGCGGATTCATAGCAAAATATTAAACTAACCCAAATCAAGAGTAAAAAAGGACTATGGTGCTCTGTCTTCCTGCAAGAAACTGCTGCGCAAGAGGTGGGGGCCAACCACCTGATATTATGCTATGGATGTACAAGGCGGTGATTCGCCCAATTATTGCATGCGGTTCGCTGGTTTGGTGGAAAGCCGTAGAGATGAACTACATATGACAATGTTAGGTAGGGTACAAAGTTCAGCCTGCATTGCGATTACTGAGGCGATCAGATCATGTCCAACGGAAGCATTGAATGTCATCTGTCATTTGCCACCGATTGATCTCTTTATTAAGGAAAATGCCCTTAGGTTGAGGGAACTTAGACTGCGGAAAGCACGTACATACGTGCGGGCAAGGACATATCCTGCACTCTTTCAACGACCCAAGCATTCGCGAGAAATCTGACTACATTCGTCCTTCGCTTCTCTTGTAGAAGTAACTTTGGCACGATTTTTGTATCAAGAAAGGAGTGGAAGGATCCTATATTTACTGAACGCTTCGAAGTATCTGGACGGCTCAAAGATGGATTATGGCGTAGAGGCGAGAATTTTTCAACCGACCTCCAAATCTAAGTGTCTATTCGATTACCAAATTCGGTCAGTATTTTTCAAGCAGAGATCTTTTCAAACTAAACAGAAGGGATCTATCTCCACTAGCTGCCGTTTACACAGGCCACTAGGCCGTGGGAATCCATACTGCAAGACTGAGACTGGAACATAAAACTTCTTTCCGTAGCTGTAATTTACGAGATGCAGAATAAACGGTGGAGCATCTGCTCTGCGATTTCCCAGCACTACGTAGGACTAGAATCAGACTTCTAGGCAAACCCTGCTTCTGCGGTTAAACAGACATAAGTGATATTAACCCACTGCAATTTCTTAAGTTCTTGACCTCCACACATGCTTGGTTAGAAATATATAATCGACTTCAGCTGCTTTCTTGCGGGCTTTCTATTTGTTTGCAATTCTTTGCAAATTACTCTTTGTACCTTGGCCAATCTGACATTCCAATAACAAGTTTTACGCAAATACATTCAAAAGTGTTTCTCAAAGTAAATACTTTTCTAACAAATGGTTTCCTTTCATCTCTTTGTGAATATTGTGCGATCGATTAGTGAATTTAGTAAGGAATTAATCTACTTAAAATTCTAAGTTTTACTTCTTAACCCGTAGTTGAATTTTACAATTTTCTAAGGGCAGTTTTCTCAATTAGGTTTTAAAAATTTATCTGGGCTTGAAACACAAATTTTGTTCTGAAAAAATGTGTTTGAAGGGCGGATGAATTTTAATATCTAAATACATAATTGAGAAACCGCAAGTTAGCCTATTTCTTTTGATATCCTACATTTAAGGGCTTAATTCTAGAAATATACCTAGTACATTAACTTACGAATGCTTTAGCAATCGCACTTAGGTACCAGATACCTCGCATATACCCCTGACATAGTTAACGGGTTAAACGCTCCAATTTATGAATGTCAACGACGAATTGAATAAATTATCAACACCTTTACTTGACACTAAAATACCAGCATGAAATTTGCATCTCTTTGACCTAATGAAAACCACTTCGCCTCGCACCTTTCACGCAACGATAACAAAGACGAAAATTGAAAATAACAAATGAATGCCATAAATTGTTATGAATTCGTTATGGTGGCTTTATTTCTTTTGTTTTATCGAATCACTGCCAAACAACGATTACCACTGCATTGGCAATTAGTTATTACAATAACAAATTCAACATTGGGCAACGCAATTAAAAGGCATTGAACACCCGCTAGTATTCTGAGCAGCATGCCCCAAACAGCCAACCACAACTACTCATTTGCCACATGAAAAATGCAAAAGGAAAATCATTTACAAAAGTGCTTGCAGCTTGCAGCCTTTATGTTGAGTGGCGCGAGACATGCGAACGTGCCTGTTGTGGCGCGCTAGGTGTCATTGCGCTACATACATAGTGTTGAAGGCAAAATGATAGCAAGGATGCTTGTGGCAATGTCATATTACTCGTAGTTGCACAATGAATTCGAAAGGAATTCATGAATTGCTAAGCGCGGGTCTGTATGTGTTTGTTACGTTTGGGGCGAGGGGGGTTTGTGTAATTGCAAGTGTGAGTGTCTCGTAATGAACACCGCACGCCCTATAAATATTTGTGCGCTGCACACACTAATATCAAATATGCAAATTCAATGCGGCTTCTATCACACTGCCAGAGTACACAGCTAGACCCGCCTGAAAGCGTCGCCGTCACCCTTTCGTACCCATATGTATGTAAATAGATCGTCCGTTTGATGCTGATTTTCATGGCATTGGTACTGATGGCGTTGAGCGCTGCTGAATTGCAAATGTGCCAATTGTAAACTGTGGCAACATCACATCTTGCGCGACTAAAGAAGTGGAACTGTTCCGACCATCAAAGCTAACTGGCTTTGAATGTGTTAAAGCGTACATGCCGTGCTTTGGAAATTTCGCAAGATTAGGGTGCCCCAGTTCATGAGGAGTGCAGTGTTTGAAATGAAACTTCTTAATCGAGAGTGGGGAGATGCTTGCGTTAGATATTTAACATACGTCATCAGATCTGTAGGTGCGATTCGTTCGATTTTCAAAAATTAGGTGTCAAATTAAACGGCTTGGCCAGCTGATGTGCTTTAGTTTTTTTATATGGTTACCAGCTGTTGGAAAACTATATTCAAATTATTTTAGAAGTTAAATGATTTATTACATATGGGTATCAATCGAACTTGTTTTGAAAGTCGCTTGATTTGCCTTTTTAATTTTTTTATTTTCTGTAGTGGAAAATTTTCCAGTACACAGATATAAATTTTATAAAAGTGTTCTATGTAGTTCCATTTTCAAAAAAAAAAAAATTTAGAATTAGGCGAAAACCGGGAGTTTGGTCGCTCCCCAGAGGATACGTGGATATACTTAAATACTTAGCCGGCGTCGTGAGCTGAACCGTACGCAAACAATGCGTATGCCTCTCTGAGTTGTAAAACAATTTTTATTATAAATATTACACATTTGTTTTATGTGTTTTGTGTATTTATGTTGTATGTATGTATTTATATATTTCACATTCATCTCAAACTATTTATATGTTTACGTACAACTTTTACCATCATATCGGCTTGCGGATTCGATGAGTCGCGCAGCAAGCCAATTACATCTGACACGCCATTCGGTGGACAACCCTTATCGGCTTTCGAAGCTAAAGCATAAAGAACGCCAGCGCATGCGCCGCGTTTACCTTCCCAATTTTCAGGACTTGGATCGAGCCTGCAAGTGTTAAGGAGAAAACGTGTACATTTAATACAATTTATAACCTGTTTCGGGAACACTCCGCCCATATTACTTTTCAAGCATGTCGAAGGCCTTTGCAGCCACCCAAAATTCCTCACATTTGTAGCACTCATTGGCAATTAGTTGTAGTAATAAGAAGGCCTCAGAATTTGTGTCGCGTGTGATAAAAACCTTCCAAGCCTAAAGAGGAGAAAGATCGAAAGCTACAGATTAAAGCCATAAAAAATGGCATTCTAAAATAAAATCAGACAAAGACTACTTGAGTTTTGCTAAAAACTAGTTCTTGCTATTGTAGGCCTCTGATAAAATTTCTTATAGCTTAACCCGTCTTAGCAAATATTTTCAGCGCTTACCAATTCAGGACGCCCGGCATGTATGTGGCACTTGGCTATAATCATGCAATAGGCGTGTTGAATCTTAATATCCATGTCAGTAATTTGCATAAGCAGCTCTTCGGCTTCTTTGTAATAACCAGTAGCGCATTTGGCTTGCGCATAGTTATAGTTGAAAGTATCATCGTTCACAAAGTAACTTCGTATGGAATTCATATAGACCAGCACCTCTTCGAACTGCGCATAGAGAAAGAAAGCCGAAGCCATGCTCTGACGACCCGGTATAGTATCACATTCCGTAGCCGAGCTGCCAACTAAATGCAAATTCTGCTGAGCGGTTTTTATGTGCTCCTTCTATGCAAGAGAGCATTGATTGACTTTTTTTTATTTTTAAATTTATTGAATAATACTTCTATGATGAGCAACTCACCGAACCGATTTGCTGACCCAACGCTGCATGCACCACACCCTTGAGTATGTACTCATGCGGCACAGTGGGCTGCAATTCTTTGATGAGCGCATGCGCTTCCTGCACATTGCCACTCTTCAAATGGTATATGGCCAAATTGAGACGTGCTTCTGGCACGATATTCAAGAGTGCCGGAAATGTTTGCATTGCATNCATTGTCTGCAATATTTTGTATCTCCTGTTCGGCTACGCGTCCATTAAACAGTCGAAAACGATTGCACGCTTTCAGATTAGTGGCAATGGTGCTGTCTTTATGCTTAGTCAGATATACGTCGAGCACCTCTTGTGACATGTCATAGTAGTCCAGCTTGTAGAAGCACAATGCCAAGTAGACATTGATGGCCAAGTAGTCTCTGAAATGTTTAAAAAACATGTTAATGCTTGTGATTGTATCTGAGTAAATGCATAACCCTTCGTACTTATTATCCAACAGTAATCGTTTATATATATCGATCGCATCTTGATAGTGTGCTCGCAAATAATGCATCGATGCCAGACTTAACTGATCTTCCACATCTACCCGCAGTGAAGCTTGCAATTGCGTCAACTGTGCCTCATTGCCGAATTTTTGCGCCAGATGAAAGAGTAGACGCACCTTCAGGGGTGTATTCGGTGTCTGTTCAATCAATCGATGTGCCTCTTCATACATTCCCAAATAGAACATACAAACGGCAATATTAAGCGCTATGTCCTCCGTTGCAGGCTCAACATTTCTTATGCTTTTGTATTGTTGTAGCGCCTGTTGATAGTCTCCCAAATGGAAGCTACAGAAGGCTATCCACTGATCAGTTAACAAGTGCTGCTCGTCGTCTTCATCTTCGCCTGAGAACTGGTGGAAGGGTATTTAAAAAATATTACCAAATACCAATAAAGAAAAACATTGAGTTACTAAATGAATGGTTCAGTCTTCACGAGAACACTACTAACAACTTGAACGAAGTGTGACGTCGAAAAAATGCAATCGCTACGGACAGCTGAGAACTTTCACAACAGTCTCTCAATACTACTTAAAGAAGCAACTCTTCGTCTTCAAGATATAAATGAGCAGTGGGATCCCATATCCCAATCTCTTCGCACCGCTGTGGAAGAACTCACGCTGGTATGACGACGCAGCATATATAGCCGCCATGCAGACAATTGTTACGCGAGCGACAATTAAGAGGGAAGGGCGATATCTGGGAAGTTGGCAGCCGGTATGATGAAAAACGACAAAAAAAAAGTAGTTCTAAGTAGCCTTCCCATAGTTCTACAGTTCTTGAAAAGGAAAAAAAAAGTTCTAGATATTTCGACAGAAAAAAATTCCTTTAAAAATTGTGTATGCCAGATTCACGCAGCATACGATATGTGGCAAAAAGGCAAATAAAAAATTGTTCTGAGCAGATTTTCAATAGTTCTAGAGTTCCTGAAAATTAACAAAAAACTTCTGCAAAGTTACGCCGAAAACACTTTTTCGAAAAAGTGGAAAAAGTAATATTTTTGAAAAAAATAAAATTTA